CAGCGCGTTCGACGGACAGTGATCACTTAGTACGTCTGAACCAGAAGCGAAATTTTAAGTGACTGGGTTGATTGCTAACAGTTAACTGTGTGTCGTCACTTTACCAGCATGCCTAATGGCTGACAAAATACTGAGTTATCCTGCGAGTGTTTCAACTTGAAACAGTGGGCACAAGTAGATATACTAATAAGCTGAGGATAGGTAACTGTTCTTGAGTTTTATTCACATTGAAGACAACGAGTAATTGAATGCGCTTTCCGAATCACGGCAATCGCTGGACGACATAGCAATTTCTAGCAAGACAGAGTCTATCAACAGAACGTACAAAACATACACAACACAGAACATGCATCAAGCAGGAAAATTGTCAAAGCCAGATCAGTCAACAAATATTTTCTTGTGACGTTTTCAACTGAGAGTGGTACCAATTTTCCAAACGATATAAGAAATTGCATATGAGAAGCAAAAAAGAATAAAGATATGGGCAATATAGGGGCTCGCCAAACAGGGATACCTGCAAATGGGAATATCTTATATCTGGGAGACCGGCACGTGATATACACAAATCTCACAACAACATCGGATACGATTCTTGAATGGTATATCAAATCCACAAGAAGAAACATCTCAATAAAATTATTCCACGCAGTTCGCCCAGATTTATTAGTTAATTCTTACATTCACACTCATCATACCACGAGCACAGCCGGGACATTATTTGGAGACAACATGAGATTCGGCCGAATTGACATTGGTAATTATATTTCACCAGCAAATAAGACTAGAGTAGGTGCAGTGCATCACATATTGGAGACCGCTGGAACTGAGTTGCACTAGCTTTGTACGTGATGGCTCATAGCGCATCAACTCAGCATATACTCGGTTCACAATGATTACTTCTGTTTTCCCCATTATTTTTGGCCGTATGTTCCTCGCCATTTACTATGCCTAGTGGTCCTTGCTCAACGTACCTCAGTAGATACTAGTTGGATTGACGACTGGAAGTGATACTCACTGGAAATACAAATTTGAGATAAGTGGTTTATTTTATGTTCGCATAGTATATGGAGCTATTGTTAGCTCAAAGCCCACATCTACCCAACAAAACCAAAGAGCTCAAAACTGGCAACTGACTTTCAAAAGGTCTTTGTCAGCCTCACTAGTAGTGTTTCAGGCTAGATACTTTGATAAACCGATTACCATTTCGTCTAACATATTGTGGGGACATTGTGCAGCGCCCTTCAGCTGAAGAATATGGGTGATAGACTAAGCCGAGACATAATTTAGAGCCCTACTTAACATGTGAATAATCTTTTGCTTCCTCAGCTCAAATCTGAAAATTTGTGATCCTGTTATTTGTGCCCCAGGCACGACTGACTTCAGTATCTGGTGCTTGATCAGTAAAGAGTAGCTGAAATATCCTCTTTTTGACCGTATCTTCTTATGTGACTTATACTGGGTATCCGTTTCAAACCGGAATGCGAAACCTTTGACTGTTTTCAGATGTCCTTCCCAGAATCCCTCATAAGAATAATTATTGAAACCATTCCTTCTCAAGAGATGACTGATAGCAAGCGATGACATTGTAACAGCGTTCGGAAAACGAAGAACTGGACACACCTCTTTTCTGCCTTCTATATCTCCATAAGTCCAAAATCCTCACCCAGGCAGTGTATATCTTCAAGTTGACGTATACGTGAACGCAAAGATAATCAATTTTTTCATTGATTGAAGTCCATACCCAGGTGACTGGTCAGGTGAGGGAAGAACAATTTAAAATTTAGCACGCGTCAACTGCGAGTTTGGGCGTCATTTGTGCCTTGGGATGACACACAGACTGGAGAATGCAAATTCACATCGTAATCGTCTAAAATTGTGCAAATTTAAGTGGAAACAAGACGTGGATAAACAAAAATCCCATCACTCGACAGCGTCGCTTTCCCGTGTACTTCAGTACGGTGACATCGACCTGCCGTTTATCGATGAATGTTGGCAGGACGCCGCGCATTTATTTTGCGCCCTTCATGGTGAGCTATTAGCGAAACGCTAGTTCACTTTTGTACCATTCAGCTAGAAAGGAATTCCATTGTTTCTGAGTGGGTTTTTATTTCACTTCTAAGAGAATTACTGCCCAAACAGTACAGTGTATGGGGAGCTTGTCTAATTCTTATTTGTGTTCTCAACTCAACTCGAATACCTGGTGGGTATGAAAATTGCGCTATGATAATTTGGTCGTTGTTATTGGGTTCATGTTATTGGGTTTCATTGAAAAATCATGTTTGTTGCATAGAGTGCGAATGGTGTGGCGGAGTGTAAAAAGAGGGTTTATTCGATTAGCTTAAGATCAGGAGGACACAGGTGATCAAAAGTTCGAGTGCGGAAGGCTTATAGATACTTTTTGTTAAATATTGTCGCAGGGAAACACAACTATGGGAAAAGATCGCGTGAAACTGTTATTTTCATCTGCTGTATACGGTTTTCTTCTGGCAAGAGTCCGTTGACTACCAGGATGAATTTAAGAGGTTGTCTGATTTTGTCCATTTGCTAATGCTTCTTTCCACTCTAGGGCTTTTAATACAGTTATATATATATATATATATATATGACCAAACGAACTTTATGGTTGCACGGCAGTAAAGCATCAGTGCCAACAGTGATGTTGCTGTCATTAATGATGTTGACCACGCAAAGCGGACGCGTACCGCGATGCTGTATGTGTATAATGAGCTGTGAAGCACATCACTAGATAGATAACATACATATTGGAATATAATGCGCTCTGGTGTTTGAGGAACGCTGACTTTGGTGTGGGATTTTCAGTTAGATTTGGGCCGAGTGCACCATTCGTTAGAGGGACCTGATAGAGTAATCCGGATTAGAAACTTGACTAGAACGAGGTATGGCTTGGCTAAGAAAGAGAAAACAGATACGAGTAGGCCAAACACAATATAGTTGGATCAAGCAAGCGCTTACGTTCTACAGTGGCTGAAAGCAAGTCAAGGGGTTTGGGAGATATTATCACAGAATCTTTTATTTGCCTTCGAGCGGTATCGTAGCTAGTCTCAAGTGCGCACTGGATCCGATTAAAAGAGGGGTCGATGGTGTTGGGGATTAAGTAGGGTGGTAGCGGTTTCATAGGTAAGGAATTAGTCCAAGGAGTGGGAAAAAGCATGACGGTGCTTGATGTTTCGCGACTCCTCGAAAAGACTCTTCCAGACGCTAGCGCGTTAAAGCATAAAGAGTTAGTGACGTAGGTTCGTGCACTCTGGAAGACAGACCAGGAGGTTTCAGGGGTTACGGAATTAGTAGCGAGTACGTGAGTCCACATCTTGCCAAGCCTATGCTATAAAAACGCTCCGATGCAGCGGACAGTGTAAAAGATTTCGATCTCTCTATTATTCTATTACTCTCTTACTCTATTTTTCGAGCCGAATCAAAATGAGAGCGGGCAGGTGTGGCTGCTCTGTACCTACATGCGGCCCTACCAAGGCTTACCCATCATTTCGTTCATTCATACATCTATCTACTCAAATTGGTAGCTGTTACATTTACTCCTTCGTATTCAGGGGTTTGTTGATCATTGGTGTTCTCTACTGAGGAGTAGGTAACGGTCGTTTCTCTTCACTACTTATTCTATTGTCGGCGTCCTATTATTAAGTATCTGCTTACTAGTATCATGATTATTACAGATGGTAACACTTAAGTCACCCTATTATCAAATCGCACGTTTACAGATAAACGAACTATATTTGAGTCTCCTTTCGTCAAATTCTGACGTGGGCAAAAGAGAAGCAATATTACGCCACCTGTAACATTATTTAAGGTTGTAAGAATCCTTTATAGTTTCGCAAAATTTTCACTGTATTTTATGGTTCACTGTTTCCTCATCTCCAAGGGGACTGTTCAGCCTATAAATACCAAAGCCGCTACACCCATTTAACGAGATATCCGAAACTAATAACAAAAAACCGACATGGTAACGCTCAGCATGTTTAGAATACCCCATGCGGTGCGGCGTTTGACACGCAAGCTAATACAAATAGAACCACTTTCAAGCACATGCAGAAAGACACACAGTATGTCACGAAAATTGCTCCAAGTGCACTTAGTGTGCAACTAACACTTCACCACAAAACCCTCTATCGCTCGTCGTAAACAAATCACAGTTGGAGGCGAATGTGACGGTAAGGAAATATTGGATGTTTCAACTGATTTGACGTCAAGTTTTCTATCCTGAAAACTAGAAGCCCCTCTTTATTTATCTATTTGGTCTATATTTCAATCTTCACCATCGTTAAGCTGACATCACTAACGAACGATCTGTCAGACAAGACCAGTTGCGCTGAACTAGGACGACAGTCCCCATTTAATTGTTAAGATAATAATCTTTCCAGGTTTGACGGTAACATTTGAAATAGACAGGGTGAGGTAAAACTAGTCGATCGAAGTTGAAGTTATCCCGGGGAAAAAATCTCCCAAATTTATCTCACTCGTACGTTTTGGGTAACGCGCACACATAGGAATTCCGGATAATCTAATGCAAAACTGCGTAGGCCGGCAAAATTATTTTTTTCTTCGTATACTTACATACTTTGGAGTATCACTTTAATCAAAAGGGTGCAGTGCCAGAACCGTAAGTGTAATTCCTAATTGAAGGAGTCTCTTCAAGAATAGATAAAAATGAAAGCAACCAGACTTTAAAAGCTGTAAAAACAAAAATAATCACTGACAGCATTATCACCTAAAAACACTTATGCTTAATTGCTATACAGCCATACCACTTTAGTTGAACAGCGTCCCATAGTGAGAAAAAGTGCGAAAAAAGTAGAGCCAACCCGTCACATGCAATCAGTGTCTGCACATCCATTCTTTATCCAGTCGGAATATCTAAATGGAAACTGGTAGCACGGAGTTCACTATTCTTGCTAGGCAGCTATATCTTTAGTAAGGCGGAGGAAGCTCATGTAGGTCCTTTCTTTCAGAGCACGCAACGCCATTGTCATCCAGGCTTTCCATAAAACAACTCAGTCTCATCACACATGTATTTGGCACTCCAAACTGAGCAGGAAAAGCAACGCACTTTTCAGAAACCGGCAACTCAGTATGCATAGTACGTGGCTGAGCCGTTCTGGTCTGCAGCCGTGGATGCAATGCTCAGCGGAGGCAATTTTTGCTTCTGAACAACTCTTGCGGTTCCTGCCGACACCAGCTTTGATTCTGAGGCATTGCCGGCCAGAGGGCGGAAAATTCCTCAGACTCGCCACCATAGGAGCCAGTTCTTCCAGCAGCAGTAATGTGGTCTAACACACTCGCTTTTTGGGTCCAATGATGTTTTTCTAGTGCCTCAAGTAGAGCAAACTGATATACGCAACTTTAGCCTGGTGGTGATATGTAACCAAAAGATCTGTTAAGGTGCGTTCACTGTTGACTGGATTAGCTCGGCAACCATCCAACTAACATCTTCGGTCAAGTTGAAATCGGTGACGTTCACGTAGGAGAACTGCAATTCAAAATGAACGTCTACATAAGATAAAATGTAGGATAGAACGAAAACAATTATAGCCTGAATTTATCCTGTCTGGTTAGATGGAACAGTCGATAATTCGAGAAATCACCTTATCGAAACACACTAGAATGTGGCGAACTTCAGCGTGGTTGTATACCTCAACCTTCTGCTTTCGAAGGACAGACTATGCTCGTTTCTCTCTGGTCTTTAGCATCGTCAGACGCATTCCTACATTTGTAAAGCTGTTATTCGCTTACGAGTGATCACTTCTTTCACTTTTGCGGGCCTCATCCAGACTTCAAAAGCAATTTGTCAGGCATATAGGGGGCCCTATTAAAGTATCGAATTCGAGTGCACCTTAAGCTAAGTTCGCATGCAACCACAGTTTAAAGTTGCCTCTTTTCAGAGATCCGTCGAGATGACCATAATAATTGTATACTGCAATGGGTTCAAACATACCTGTGTTCTAAGTTAGGTTGTGTCAAGGAACCATGCCTGTGTTCTCTTCAAACATACCTACTTCATGGTATTTCCCCACCATGTGAGAATTAGCCGACCCCATTGATTTCCCAAGCAACAGGTGCCTATGACTGAGGATTCATTGCATGGTCGGGCTAGTGTGTAAGTCAACTTTGAATGCACCTACACGGCTAAGAAGTGGCATGCAACACAGAACACATAAAGCTGGCACTAAATGTTAATATCCTATTCTTCAGTATCATCCATAACAGCACAGTAAGTTCAGAGTAAACTTGGTAAGTGTGTGTCAGTTTACGCTGCTTGTGCCCATAGCATGATCAACTCGAAAGGGCAGTACCACAAGTTTATTTAATACTGCTGACTGGCCGATCGGCTTACAGACCCAAAAGCACGTATTAAGTCTAAGCTTTGAGTTAAGTCTGAAAAAAGTTACAAGTAGTGCTTTCATTTCTCATTCAATATCGTTATTGCGGTCTAGATGTGATGGTCGACATGACAGAACAACCAGCGCGCCGCCATTATTCAGAATAACAAGGTTGCCAGGATAGTCCGGATCAGTTAGAAATTTGATTTGTGGTACAGATAGGCTGCTTTCACTAATTCATCAATTTCCACATAAGCCAACAGCATAAACAGAAAAACAGCAACACGGTCTCCACATTTTTCACATCGGCTTCGAACTAAGTTGGTTACTGACCAATGACTGGTCCATCCCATCAAACTTCATTTCATTGCATTTTTCGCTTAGAATTCGTATCTATTTGTGTAAAAAGTTTAGAACAGTCATATCAACCCTTAAGGTAGAAGCAATCTCAATTGGTGGGGGATTCTATGTTGAGGGTCACTTGAACAAAAACGGTCGCTGAAGGGTTCTAAAAACCCAAAGTGCCAGGAACTTCCTCAAGAGTCATAGAACCAACAAAGGTTAATTACTGTAGAGTTATGTTCGCTGTATGTCCATGAAAATTGGTGTCAAAAAACGGGTCTACTAACAGACAGAGGTGCTATTCGCCTATACACAACAACCCATTGTAAGTATTTTATGCAGCGCCCAACAGTGAAAGTTATACTGGGTAGCCAAGGCAAGCCGCATGAAAGTTTGGTGCGTAATAGTGGCCATCTGAAATACAGTGCAAACTGGGCAACTAGTACTCGGTCTGATTAAAAGCATTCGACTAAGTTAGTTAAGCGGATTTGACTGATTTCCACAAAAGTCAGCGGACAGAACTTCAACTAAAAAGTCATGCCAGAATGGAAAGTATTCTGAGCTGGATGCCAGTTCATTATTCGATTCAAGGACTGACCATATCATATCTATCCCAAGCTCCACGTATTCCATCACGTTACCGACCAGATCATAAAGTACTGGTAAAAAGCAAAATGTTGGGTTATCGATCTTCACTTAGGCTGCCACTTGACTTGGATTCATAAAAAAATGTATGCAGGCACAATGGTAAGAGTACACAATGGACTTAGTGCCAGTTCCCAATTGACCATTGTAGTCTAGGAGGATTTAGATTGAAAATATGTAATTTGGTCAATGCGCATATGTTTCCGCCATGAAATCACGAGCAGAAAGTGTATTTCGATAGGGCTAAAAGACATTTTTCATCAGTTAGTCCTAAATAAGCCCAAATAAATAGCTGTGTATACTGTTCATTCTTGATGGAACGTCTCAGATGCTCATAATGCTCAGTGCCATTTTGGCGTGATTTTTCTCCATTGCCTTCGGAATTTCTACTGAACGAAATTCTCCAACGCTGAACTCACTGCCCATGTATATATGCAAACCTCTGATCTAGGTCTGACTTCTCACCTCCTGACTCAAAGATCAACACCTTAGTATTTCATCAGCAGGTTCCGGATATCGCTGAAGAAACTAATTTATAATTTTTACGGTGCAGCGTTCTGTCTCTGAATGTGGTCCACAGTCAGCCATTTTCTCTACTGTTCCGTCATTTAACATGGTAAAAACTTCCGTTCATGTTGTTTTCCTTACAACTGACACGGGCCCACACTTTTTCCGAAAAGCACATCTCATAAAAATTGACCGACACTCAACACGTGGACAAAGCAGAATTTTATTCATAATCCAAGTACGTAACTGTACGTAACTGTACACTGTACGTGGATGTTCAATCGATAAACTATAGAAGAATCCCACAGACGAACTGGCACACTTTTGCCATTCTGTTAATTAGTGCCAATCATCCCCTTGTCTCAACCCAACGAAGATGTATGACGCCGGAAGCATTCAAACTACAAGGCTTTCACCTTTGATTGGAGGATACATTAAAGGAAAATGTGCGTATCCACTTGTGGAACTTCGGTGTGTGGTTTTTAAGACAAGATTAAAGATAGTTCCTATGGTTACTGGTGCAAATCCATAGTCAGGTTTAACAAATGCGATCCCTATTTGGAGGGATCCAGCCTATCTCACTCGGCTGCATCTCCGAATGAATGAAAGTTCTTCAGAAATCAATACGTTTCAAGCGTTATCTTGAACGATGTGCCATTAAATCGGCGCGGCTTTTTTTAAGTACTGCTTTGTTTACAGTTTGGACGCCTAGGAACTTTCGGAACTCCTGTTAACAGTCAGGCACCACAAAAGAGTACGGACTACTTCATTGACTCATTCTGTGCATACTGTGAATTAGCGTGTCTTAATTTCATGTTTCTGTCGGAACCGTGCAGGTGTGAGCCGCCGTGTCATTCGATCCATCGGTGGTCCGTTATTTTATGCTGAAGGATTCGTTTACCCTTCTTATTTTAGCGTGTTTGTTGAACCGGTAAATCCTTTAGTTATATTGAAATACGGTTGAGGGAAGGCGAGCTCCTTCTGGAATTAATCCATAAAGATTCATGTATCTCTGTGCCCTCGGTCATTGTGAGCCTAGTAATTCCAGGCTCTGACCTTTTTCTCCAATTTCTCAGCTTCAAATGCTGCACCAACATATGCCACGCTGATGGGAGTTATGAAAGCAAGATGAAGTAGGCGACCGGCAGGTGATTGTGAGAGGGTGCCATATGACTTGGCATTCAAGAGGTCATGAAGTTCCCTCACTTGGTTGCTCTTAGATGGCATCAATGATTGTGCTAACTCAGTTTAAATACCGTTGAACCGTCCCATAACGTTTACTGCTTGACTAAATATACGGTGCATTATATCATCCATCATAGCTATTAAAGTACTAGGTTCGTTGTTGGAGTCATGCGTTTCTCAAAGCAGTACGTTTTTGTGCATGAAGAGAGATAGCCGCATAAAATTACGTACACAAACGTCTGTCTACTCTATGACGGGTTTCGAATCTAGCTAGCATTTATGTGATAAGGAGAGGAAACAAAAGATGAGATGAGGTTTTTAATGGGGAAACTGAAAGATGACGGGAGACAAACGTAAGGCTTCAGCTAGTGTTATTAGTAATTGTCATCACGGCTGGGACGAGTGGCTGCATATTCACTTTTATGATTATATATATATATATATAGT